GGGGGGGAGCTCCGCCGGCTCAGAGAGAATGAAAAGCGGAAGATTTTAAGTGTCAAGAGAGGGGCCTTAGGAGATCGATGGACCAGTCCAAGCCTTCGCAAAACAAACAAGCAAGCAAAAAACCCCCAAAACGTCCTTCTTTACGACAGAGCTGCAAAAAGTCAGAGACAAAAACGTGTCTACAGCACTGTCGCCCAGTTTTGTGGGAAGACGTCAGGTCGCTGTTGTTTGTTTTCGCGGCAGATCACATCGGTGTTATTCATTCTGTGTTCTAAAAAGTGAGCGCGTGGTTTTAATTAAAACCTACACCGTGTTAAAAAGGCAGATCCAATGTGATTCTTTTTCGTGACGTTCGCTTTTCACGAGGGAGCCCTCTCATCCCTCCCTGCTTCAACTGTTTACAACGGGGTTCGAGAACTGGCCAACTCTTCCATTAAAACGAGCCCCTTGAAGGCTTCCGTGGTGAGACAGGGACCTAAGGTGACAGCAGGCGGGCTTTCTAAGCGGGGGAGTGGGGGGAGGGGCGGTCCACGTGGGGTCTCACCTGTGTGTCCCTGCCTCGGGTCTGCGGATCAGGTGGACAAGTGCCGGGGTCCCTCGGCTCCATGGGATGAGCCCAGCGCCCACGCACAGGGCTGCTAACACCACTGAGGGTCCTTCCCTTCAGCTGTATCCCACAGGGCGCGGGCTCGTGACCTCCGAGATGTGACCTTCGCGATGGCGAATTCACAGAAGCAACCGGAGTGACCATCACCAGAGGAGTGGCTAAAGAGGATGTGACGCGTAGGCACAACGGGACGTTATTCGGCCACGAGCAAGGACATCCTGCCCTTGGCAACAGGGATGGACCCAGAGGGCGTTATGCTGAGTGACGGAAGACGGACCGAGAAAGGCAGACACCGGATGCACTTGCTTATCTGTGGACTCTGAAAGCATCGAGCGCCTAGAAGCAGGGAGTAGGGGGCTTGTGAGTGGGGGCTGGGGCTGGAGGACGGAGGCAGGCATTGGCCCAAGGGCCCAGGCTACCAGCAATCACACGGATAACTTGGGAGCGTTCAGCGTGGCGGCTGTAGTTAACCACGCTGTATCGTGCGCTTGGAAGAGGATCTCAAAAGTCCTTATCCCCCCACGTTTCTTAGAAGGCAGCTGTGTGAGGCACCGCGGGTGTTCAGTAACCTGCATGTGGTCACCCTTTGACATCTGTGGGTCCCAAATTGCCACCTTGTACGCCTTAAACTTGTACGATGGGATACGTCCGTTACACGTCCATCAAGCTGGAGAACGGAATTAAGGAGAGAGCGGCGTTCGAGGGTTCGAACATCTGGCCAGCTTTATGTGAGAAGCGTAACATTTTTACTGCGACGTGATGAGTGACTTCGCTAATTTAAAGTCGTCTGTATCATCCTTACT